AAATCTTACAAAGTGGGGTCTGGGTGATGGACGTTATATAGATTGTCAAAGTATATCATGTAGGACACCGCCAAAGGAAACGAATGCACTCTACTTGTTGCAGTTTTTGTGTTCCGGAATCTTTAATTTAGGGGTTTATTTTGCAAAAATGCATTTATAGATATTGCTAACTAAAAATGGCTGTTGGTCATATACTCTATACTCATCGTAAAATTGCGAAGAGCGGTTAATCATATGATAACTTACTATTCAAACGGTATTTGAGGGAAAGAGAAAAGTATGTAGAAATCTACACATAATATACTCTTTGGTGATCTTCAAAATGTGTCTGGTGTTCAAAGTCTTTCTGAAAAGACACGCATTTTATTTTCACTGAAATGATGTTGAAATTCTCAGTATGATTTGTAAAGGTAGAATGACCAATTTGGCTGTTTTACTCGTAATCATCACTTTGCTTTTCATTTTGTTTTTTTGGGAATAATTAAAAATGTAATTGCTTAACCCATAAAAAATTGAAAAGAAATTGAAAGATAAGTGANACTGGACCCATACATGTACCGAGGACGGAACCAAACAAGCGCTCCCTTTTCAACCGATGAGGGGGTGCTTCCGCTCAAGGCGGATTGAACAGACCACGTAATTAATTACGCATAGACCGCCAGGTAGCAGACCTGCGTTCAAAACGACACGTACTTCGTGATCTACGAGGCGTCAGATCAAAATCAAAACTATGAGCAAATTCACCCCTCGAAAGTCTGCCTAGAGAAGTAGGCCTACCCCCCTTTATCCGTTGGAAAGAGCATAGAGCAAGCAATAACTTGCTCTATGGCAATAGCAAGAGCCGTGCTGGTGTTGATTGTTCGTTTTGTGATAGCGACGCGTGGGCACATGCCTCTTTCCTTACTTCCTCCATGTCTCCAGTACTTACCGTGACCACCAAACTATGCAAACTGACACGTTTAGCACTAAGTGCCTTCAACAGAACCTCTTTTGTAAAATTTCACATATTGACTAAATTTAGTGAGACCTAGTTACACCACAGATTGCTGGAACGTCAAAAACTTTGTGTTGGAGGTCACCTCTTTTTTTTACCTGGCCACATTCAGATTTTTTTGTGTGAATTGATTACCATTTCCTTTATAAACATCTCTGATTAGCATACAAAAGCTCGCTCCGACTTACAGTGCTGTTGATGCCTTATAACGACACATTTTATTTAGGGTGATCGCCTGGCAAGAATATACTTGTTACAAGTTCTTATTTCATTACCAGGCCTTACTTACTTACTTATTTGTCAATTTATATATAGTAATGCTTTAGGGTGCTTTTTCTATTGTGAATGTAAATATTTATTGACACGATGACTATACTACCATGGATACTACTATGGAAGCAACCATTACTCCACCCCTCAGTTTTAAATGGTTTCGTCTTTTGACTGAAGTGCAGAATGTGATTAGACAATCACAGGCCGCGCAAACCTTTTCAGTACTTGATATTCGATTATGATATCGATACCACAATTCGGAAAGGACAAGGGCAGATATGGCTGGGATTTTATTAGAAAGAGCAATATACATGTACATGAGAAAACCAAAACAGGATTCACAAAAAAATGAATGAAGGTAACTGGTGGATACTATTAAATAAGTAGGAGAAATACGTAATAAAATCAACACTTGTTGAAAGGAAAAGAAAAAGAAAAAGAATGTTAAAACTCGAGATTGAAATTCCCAATTCCTTTTGTGAAGGGTTTAACTTTTTTTCATTGTGATCCTGTATTCATTGGTTCAGTACTTTTTAACCGGTATAAGAGGGACTTTGAGTTTCGACTTTAAATTTATAAATTTAAAATTGGATACAAAGAAAAGCCATTGCTGAATAAATTTGAGTATCACTGTTTTTTTTTAAGTCTGCTCTAACACCTATTGACAGTTGTTTACATAACGTATATGAACTAATGTTTGCATTATCGTGTTTCATAGTTTTATCTGTATCTGTCAGCTCCTGCACAAATGCCTATTGTGAGGCTATCATGTGCAGGTAAAAGACTTGTTATAAATCTTTGAGGTCTTTAATTATCAGAGCCAAGCTATGCAGAGAGCAAAATTGGCCGGGGAACAAACCGTAGCCGATATGGTGGTAGATGAATAATAATTACGTGGTCACCCCCCCACACACACACACACCCACCCACATCCACACACCCACACATAATGTGGACTTCTTTTGTGCAGAGGTCCACACTGTGTATGCCATGCCTGCACAATTTTTTTTCGAGGTGTGAAAGAAAAACGCACATTTAGTTAATGTAATCACCCCCCTCCATTCTTATGCCCCTACTTCGTACAGGCACAGAGTTAATGATGAACAGCTAGGGCTGTATCATGCACCCTTTGACTTCGATTACCAATCTTGTGATCGGTTTTTCGATGTGTAAGTAATCGATACTTCCCAAGTACTGTACTACTACTTGGACGCTTTTGAAATAATGCATGCTCGATTACGCGAGCGAGCGCGAGCGTTCGATATGCTGTGCCGGTATCTTGCGCAATTGCATGAGTGCAGCTGTTAATTGTCAGTTTTGCTTCTGCTGGATCGGAAGACGGTAAGAATTTATCCCAACTGTCGGACTGTGGTGTATCAACATAGTGTATGTTTCGTAATAGTCAGCCTTTTTCGCTAAAAAGTCGTTTTTCATTCGGTTATGACATAAAATGCCCTAAATCACGTGTTTTATACAATGTTACTGTAAGCCAACGTTAGCAGGTTAGCTTAATTTGAACTGCCTAGCCTAGGCCAGTATTCAGTAATCCGATTCGTGTTGTAATGTGAGGTCAGGGTTACAAAGTGACAATGACTGTATCACACAGTGTGATCAGATGATCAGGCATACCATGGGCCATAGAGCAAGGACAGGGCATACGAAGCGCTAAGCTTAGCTGCTTAGCGTACATGTCGCAAAACATGTTACTTTTTGTAAGGCTCCCACTGTTAGTGTATGTTGGCATAAAAATAACACTTTTTATCGAAGTTGAATTGTTGGAAAGAATTATAGATGGCACTCGACACAATGTCCACAAACCTATTCATGAGGCTGGACTGGTTATTGTTGAGGAATAGCATTCCAAGGTAGTCCATGGGTAGTCCGAGTGGGGTCCGGGCAACTCGACTGTTTGCCAACTCGACTTCGGATAACTCGACAGTCAAGATAAGTTGACCGTTGAGACAACTCGACCCATGACTTGACCGACCGTATGTAAAAGGGAACGATAAGGTCATGTCTTCTTACAAGCGACATGGCTGAATACTAAAGTACATTGTACATGTAGACTTTGTAGTATACGTGTATAGGGGTGTTAGGGTTAATGAAAGGATGGCATCTTTATTTATTGGCAAATTAAACGTCTGTGTTCATTCTAATTACTGGGTTTACGTAAAAGCGTACCTCTCAAATAATCATGTTAAAATTTAAGTTTTTCTTTACTGCAAGAAGTTGCAAAGTGATAGTTTTCGCACATTTAAAATAGGAGAAACTTCTCTTGTGATTATCTCTTGTGAAAAAAACGGTAGTACCTGTGGCAATGCTATCCTTTTTTTGCTCGGGCGAATATTCAGATTACTTGAGGAAGACAGCATTAAAATTTCAACGCAGTGTGTTTCTTGGTTTTGAGCAAAATACAATGTGACAGGAGAAATCAAAGCTGGCTATGGTGTAGACCAACACTGAACAGCTGAATTACGGTAGATTCCTGTCTTAGCGCTCTCTTATAAGCGTATAACCCACTTAGATGGATGCTCAACATGTGCACTGCATGTGTGCACATTACGGTACATGTATCCACATGTCGTCATGTATGTGACTCTTCACTGCGTAATAGTCGTGCGCATGTGGCAAGTGTGGAGCATTTTCGCTGCACAATGCTTCTTGTTTTCGCAAGTTTCTGCATAATTTTCGGAACCTTTGCACCGCTTGCGCAAAATTTCCACACTCTTTTTGCACACTGTTTTTTTGCAAATGTTTCATGCCGTGTTCTCAAAAGATTTGTAACGCTTTTTTGCGCGATTTTTGCACCATTTTCGCACGTTGTTTGCCCCTTTCGCATCCAATTCACTGTGAATTCACTGCAAAGTCGCAGGGGGGAAAGTTGTGGTCAAAATGTGAATGTGAATGCGAATTCCTTTCGCTTTTTTTCCTATTCCTTTTTGCAGTGTTAACTTTCAAATGCAATGTACTGTGTACATGTACAGTGTGTGTAACCTCTAGATTAGGACTGCTAGTTCTTTCGCGGCAGTTGCTATTTTTCTTTTCTCTTCTTTTCTTTTGTTTTTTTTTTTTTGCCATCAGTTTTGGTTAGGAATTGGACACAAGCGTGCATGCTACGTGTTTATCTCTGAACTGAACTCAAAGAGAGGGCATACATGTATTAGACATTTAGGCTGCTCTTTTCTGGTGCATCATACAATTGATGTGTACTCCTCTGTAGTTTACTATTGTGCATGATTTTAATCTTTGTTCCTCACTCTCTTTTTGCAGAGTACAGAAAAAAATTGAAGGCTTTGAAGAGCACAAACTGAAAGCAAACTTGTTTTTAGCAACATGAAGGAAACAAGTGTTGAACTTGCTGATTCGGGCTACCCACAAATCGTAGTCCATGATGTTGAAGAACCAGGAGATCAAGAAACAGAAATCAAAGAACCTTTTGTTAACAGCAATGGTAATGCTCCATCTGGATCACCCTGTGGTAGCCCATACACAACACCTCAAGGAACCCCATTGACAGCACGGAAAGCCAATGGAAGTAATGGGCATCTCTATGTTCCTGGTGGATCACCAAGCAAAGGTGTAGGTTATGCACCTTTGGGGACTTCTCAAGCTCACAAATGGGGGGGATCAATATCTTCCATACGACTGTCTGCTTCAAGAGAAGACATTGCTGATATGCGTGCAGAGCAGAAAATCCAGGGGAGAAGGGCACCAAGGGATAGGTATGTCTTATCTTTCCACGGTTAAAATAAAGTTTTACATGCAGCGGTACTCTTGGATAGGGCTGTGCTGAATAACCGAATATTCAATAGATTGTCGGATATTTGAATAGTTTTTTTTCGAATTTGATTATTCGAATGCAAAATTCATTAAAAGGAAGGGAAAATACCGGTATAAATGAACATAATTACAGTCCATTCACAGACACAGTGAGATCTATCTTACCCATGTCCCAAACACATAAACATATAGGCCTACATATCGGGGTTTGTATAGTGCATCACTCATTGCACAGCTTCCAAGTTTCTGTTCTAAGATTAACAAGTATTTTGACCCCAGAAAAATTGTTTTAAAGTAGTTGTGCAAATGTAGAAACCCAACCAATTTATCTTTCAGTGTGATGTTCAGTTAACAACTACATGTACCTGCACAAATGTAGAGCCAATGATTTTCTGTGATCACGGAAAACTGACGGAATTCGCTGAATCAGCACTTTGAAACAGAATCCACTGCTTGAAATGGAACTTACAAAATTTGTAACTCAAAATTTTTCTGCAGAGCACTACAAATAAATGCCTACCAAACCCTTTTAAAATGCTTGCTTTTAATGAAAGAATAATGCTGGAAAAATGCTAACTTGCACCACTCCACCACATGATTGGGTCGTCTGTGCCAGTATCGATACTTGCTAGTGCTTGGGCATGTGTGAGCTCCACGTGTGTAGCGGCAGCTAGCACAGTGCAGCGACGTGGTATATATAGCACACACTTTGGCTGTACACACGTGCACTGTACTAGCATTGAAATCAAGGCGCAAACAAGTTCATACTCACACATATGCTTATTGCACACGTCAGGAATTCAGTTTGTGAATCCGCATAGACTCCTTGAGACAAGGCTAGTACCGCATGGCGAAATGATGAAACCACGGCAGCAACACAGAAGACTAATTCCATATTTCTTAAATTAAATGAAACCTTGTAAGCTTTGTGTGCCATAGCTGATTGGGCCCTAGGAAGTGTTCGATCTAGAGTGAGGTTTTCAGTCACAAACATACATTTTAAGGCTCAGATTTAATGTTAACTTTCTGAATTATGTCATGTAACTACTACCAAATAAAATGGCAGGTTGATGTCCAACGACTGTTACATGCAAGACCTATTCTGTGAATTCACTGTACATGTACTTCTATGTAATCTGAATTATACATGAGGAGTGGAACATGAATTGTCCGTTGATTAATTGTATCAAGTATTTGATGTTCGCGCCCTGTGGGAAATATCAAGGGACAGGGAATGCCATATTTGTTGTGTTGTTTTTTTATTTTCACTGCAGAAATTATTAAAAAGTTGGAAACATTGCATAGTATTTCCAAACAATATCTGTTTTTTTCTATTTTGGGGGGGGAATGGTTGGGCAAATGGTTTCCATGCATAGTTTAATACTGCTCTGCAATTTCATGCTTATGGCTTAGGTATGAAATGGAATTAGAATTTCCAAAGCGGAATTTGGGATTGGTGAAATGGAAAATACCCATTTTTTAAACGGAATATTGTTGGGTCTATTTTCAAATGCACATACTGTAAGTTTGAAAAGTCACTTAGTTCTGCTACAGTACATGTAAGTGCTACCGGGTAGGCCTTCCGAATCCAGAAACACATCCATGTCTTTGGAGTCCTGCTCTCATTTATATACATGGACGGTAATTTGTGCAAAGAATTTTATATGATAAACCTCTTCTAAGGATCTCAGGTGAGAATGGCCAGAGATTTTTTACATTGATATTGTTTTGTACATGTACATGTAAGTGCTCTGTAACCTACCGGTTACTAGTACGGTATGATTGCTTTATGGAATTAAAATGCTAACTGTACATGTACATGTACATTGTACATGTACACTGTATGTTGCAGTTTTATATAGAGGTTGAGGACTGTAGAGACAGAATGTCTTTTGAAAGATAGTCAAAAGTACATGTACATGAAACCTGTTGAGAACAATATAGTTTCATACGGTATGTATGGAGAATACCTCTACATGTACATGGTGCCTCTGACACAGGTGCAAATACATTGTATGATTGGCTTTTGTACAAGTAAGGTACATATACATGTACATGTACATGTAAATACTGGTAGTTCATGCACTTTGGAAGAGTACTGGTCAGTACATGTAAATGTACGTGTAGTGTGTACGTGATGATATACATGTATATGTATATATATCACCTCTATAAACAGGATGTGTGCATCATATTGTAACACTCTTATGTGCATGTACATGTTCGGTACCTACATGTACATGTACTACTTTGGTACTACACCAGCACCCGTGTATCCACCCTTTTATCGTCGATGGTGTAAGTTATCTGTTCATGTACATTGCGTAAAATTCCCTGGATGATTTTATCACCACTGTATTCTCCTGATCTTCTTCAAAGAAATTTCCACATTGGTCATTGTTCTTGTTATTACATTGTACATGTATTTCAAACCTCCAGGACATTACAAGCCCTCAATCTCCAGATTCACCTCCTATGGCATATTTTGTGAAATTTAATGTGCCTATAAAAATGGGAAAACTTTAAAATTTGAAAGTACCGTGTACTGGTAAATGTAGGTCAGTGGTGAAAAATCAAACAATTATGAAAAGTAAATAAGCTTTCAGTTTTCATTGAATAAGGCATGTAACTTCACCTTTATTGAACGTGTGTTGTACGCCTACATGCAAGTAAGAAATTCCAATAGCAAACCATTTCTCTTATTGGCAGGTGATTTAATACCAAAGAAAAGATCTTTTGTTTTCCACATACCGTACATGTACTGGTACTTGATGTACATGTACATACTAGTACCAGAACAATGTTGTACATTGTACCAGTACAGTTACTGCTGTCAGCCGGTTTACTCTGCTGGCTGCCAAGGAAAAGCTTAATATGGATTACATGCAGGGTCAAGAAGGGAAGTACATGTACATGTACCGGTTCCATGTGTAT